GTTTCACTCTCATGTATAACTAGACTACCCCCTGCCACAGAGCCTTTGCACATGGGATCCCAAGTCAGGTGGAGAAGTTCATGTTGGCCTAGTTCACGCCAAAGTCATGAAAGTGTCTGCAAATACACAGAATAATTAATTTAGCTTATTTCAGTTATCTACGGCTGCATAATAGACTACCCCAAAACTTAGTGGCATAAAACAATCATATTATTATGCTCACAGAATCTGTGAAACAGTAATTCAGATATGGTTTGTCTCTGCAACATGTTTTCAGGAGCTTCAGCTGGCTCACTCTAAATGCTAGGCTGACTTGAACACTGTGGAATCATCTGGAAGCTTCTTCACTCACATATCGGATGACTTGAAGTTGGCCTCAGCTGAGAATATTAAGTGAAGCACCTACATGTGGCCTCTCGTGGGGTCGGGCTCCCTCACGATATGGCGGCTTCAGATAGATGGACTTCTTATGTAATCATGATGACTGAGGGCTCCAAGAGTGGGTGTTCCAGAAAACAAGTTGAAAGCCATGTTGTGAGGAAGTCCAAGCTATCCTGCAGGACAGGCCACGTGGAGGAGAGCGAGACGCTCTAACTGAGCTCCACATAAATGCAGCTGCATGAGAGACCTCAGGCAACATTGCATGGAGCAGAGAACCACTCAGCTGACCCCCAGAATTGTGGAAAATAATAAATCGCTGTTGTTTTAAGCCACTATGTTTTCTTAATGCAGCCCTTGAGAGCGGGGATCCTGTCTGTTAGGTTCAGCACCACAAACATTTACTAAAAGAATGAATGGACTCTCCTCAAGTTCACTGAGCCATGCTGGTCTCTGAGTTCTCCACAATAATCATCCTAGGCCCTAGGAAGCCAGGGTTGCAGAGGTGGGGCATACGGGGTTGGACACACACCAGCTACTAGCCAATATGGTGCTCTTGTGAAAACTGGACGAAAGGTCTCTCTGGACGGACTAACTAGAAAAAAGTGAGCCCTCTGGATGGACACAGTTCCAAGGGCACATGGCTTGGAAAGTAGACTGTGGGCTCTATTTAAGCCCCACTTGCCTCCTTGGCCAACAGCCGCTGTGTAGTGAACGACCTGCACAACTATTCAGGGCTTCACTGCTTTGTGATCTGCAGCCATTCTTCCCTTCTTCCTTGGTAAGAGCACATCAATTTTCTTTCTGCAAGCTGCCATGTCCTTCAGAGGAGGCTGATCAACCCCCCAGGTGCAGGAGGCAAAGATTTATTGATCTGAGGCTTAGCCAATCCCAGGGTCTCATTCACCTTGCCTTGTAATGGGTCACGTGGGTACGTGACACACTTCCAGTCAATGAGACATGGGGGGCAGTTGCTGGAAGGCTTTCCAGTCAATGAGATATGGGGGGCAGTTGCTGGAAGGCTTTAGAAGTTTTCTCTCACTCTTCAAAAGGGACCTAAGATAAGAATGAACCTCTTTTTGCTGCCTTGGGAAGGGTTGTCTGCACGTGACACCTGGGTATGTGGTAGCCTTCTTGGGACCATGAGGGAGCTGGTCTAAGAGGAGATGATGGCAGCTCAAGAAGATGGATGGAATTGGGGTCACTGGTGACATTGTTGAGCTGCTGAATTAACTAACACTGGACATCTGCCACCTTTGGTCTTGTGTGAGCCACATGAATATGTTATTTAAACAAGCTAGCTGGGCCTTCAGTTACTTGCAGCCCAAAGCATTCTGATTCAAGAGGGAAGGGTCCTGGTGCATGTAACAATGTGCTCCTCATGCCTTGGAACTGATCTTGGGGGAGCTAGAAAAGAAGTGGATGCCAAAGATGAGCTAACATCAGTGCTTGAGTAGTGGGGACAGGTCTGCTGCGATCCCAATCCACTTGGGCAGGAAGGCTGCCTCTGGTTTAAAGACTTTGAGGAAGGGAGAGTCTGGGAGGGTGTAATTGGCCAGGTAGATGGTCTCTCCACCGGCGAGGTAGGCGGCCCAGATCCCGAATGTCCCAATGGTCATGATGGTGTGGTTACACTGTGTCAGCAATGCAAAGTCCTGGGTGGGTGAGCCCTCGTTGCCATTGCCAGCAAAGATCACATCACCACGAGAGGCATCTATGTTCTCCCGACACCAGGCCATGCCGTTGCTGGTGACCACAAAGACGGGGGAGCTGTAGCGGGCCCGGAACCAGTCCAGGGCCTGCTCTAGGTATCGCCGGTCGGCCACCACGCCCTTCCACACCCGCGGCATGACGCGGACGTAGTCCCCCCTGCGCACGTGGACCCCCACGAAGGTGCTTGGCCGGCTGCCATTCACCTGCAGGCCCCGCAGAAACGTCTGGGCCTCCTGGCGCACGTGGTCGTGCAGGGTGAACTCCCGGAGGATCTCGTCTCGGAGGTGGTGGTAGAAGGTCCAGGAGCAGGGGTAGCCGGTGAGGCGCACGTACTCCCCGGGAATGTGGCGGTACTCCTCCTCCATCCAGTCGTTCAGGTGGTAGTTCCGCCACGGGATCTTGCTGGCCGTGGAGCCGTGCAGGACGGGGAGGGTGATCCTGAAGATGGGGGCGAGCATGCTGTGCATCTGGGCCGGGATGAAGGCCGGCCGCCCGTTCATCTTGGCCAGGGCGTACAGGGTGGCGTACTCGCCCATCTGGTTCCCCAGGCGGCCTATTGCATTGATCGTCCACATACCCCTGGGCTGCTGGCTCCCGGTGGTGTACTCCATTGTCTCCAATGGCTCGTGTCGAGATGTTGTCCTCGCCGGCACCAACTCCCACGTGGGCTGAATCTTTGCTAGCCGCTGCTGAAGGTGAAATATGGTGGAAGCCACGAAGACAAAGAGGATGAAGTGGCCCATGGGGAAGAAGAAAGGCGCCTGAGTGCTGAGCATGGCTGTCGGGGGAGGGAAAGCAGGGGACGTTAGCTGGGGCATGGAGGCCCTGGGGTGTGCAGGCACGTGGTGGCATAGTTGTGTGTGCAAACATTGTGTGGGTGTCTGTGGGTGTGGGTTTACTTTGTGTGTGTGTGTAAATGAATGTGAATACTCAGGTCTGTGTATGCAGGTATGTCTCTAGAGTGTGTGCTATGTGAGTGTGTTTACATTGGGCTCATATATGCGTGTTTACGCATGTAGATATGTATGCATTGTCTGTGTGCACACATGGCATGTGCTTTGTGTGAGTATATATGGGTGTGTGTGTATATATATATAGTGTGTGTGTGTGTGCATATGAGTATCTACATATTGTGTACATATATGAGTGTGTGTGAAATTGTGTGCATGCAAATGGACATGTGTACATTGTATTGTATGGAGGTGTATATACTGTGTACATATATGGGTGTGTACTATATATATAGTGTGCAGGTGGTTGTGAACACATGGCATGTGTGTATGTGTGTGTATATAAGTGAGTGTGCATACGTTATATGTATATACATTGTATGTTTTAATGTGGGTGTTTATGAGTGTACATACATGGGTGTCTCTATATGGTGAGTACAAGTGTATGAACCTACCATTTACTGGGGATCCAGTTTCTAGAGATGTCCATCTTTGCATACCCTGCCTATCTCTACCCCCTTTGAAGGGAAATTGCCCCACTCATCAAGAACTCCACTACTTGACCTGTCTACCCTCCTGGCCACAGACAACTGAACTTGAGACAGACACCTGAGTCCACGGTGGATTCTCCATTCATTGGCTGTGGCTTATGACAAATATAGGCTGGCTCTAAAAGATGAGTTGGCCAATTCTCTTTCTTGAGTATTTTTACTAAAAAGCTCAGAAAGCAACTGGCAGATGAGAGATTTTTTTTTTTCCTCCTGATACCAACTGGGTGTCCAACAATTCAATTCAATTCTGACAGTCTCTATCTGGAGTTAATATCAGATCCCACAAGTTAAAGGGTTCAATTCCACGAGACTGCCCCCAACTTCAGACACCAGTCACAAGTCCTGGGCCACTCGTACTTCTGATGGACCAGCTATAAATCAGGGGTTCTCATGACCCCCTCCTCAGGTTTGATAGTTTGCTAGAATGGCTCACAGAACTCAGGAAGGCACTTTACTTACATTTACTTGTTTATTGTAAAGGAGACAAACTAATAGCCAGAAGAAGAGATATATAGGGCAAGGTCCAGTAGGGTCCTGAGCACAGGGACTCAGTGGAGTTGGGGTGTGCCAACCTCCTGGCTCATGGATGTCTTTGCCAACTCAGAGGCTCTCTGAGCCCCACTGTTTAGGGTTTTATGGAGTTTTCATTATGTGAGCATGACTGATTAAATCATTGGCCACTGGTAATTAACTCAATCTCCAGTCTCTCTCCCCTCCCCACAGGTTGTGGGGTGGGGCTAAACATTACCATCTTCTAATCAAAGCTCGGCCTTGGCCTTTCCGGTGACCAGCTCCTATCCTGAAGCTATTTAGAGGCCTGCCAAGAGAAAGACACTCCTATTACCCAGATCACTCAGGAAATGCCAAAGATTTTAGGAACTATGTGCCAGGAACTGGGGACAAAGACCAAATACCATTCTATGAGACCACAGTAGGTAATGCTGAAAGAGAGAGTAGGGATTGGAGTGGTGGGGACATGTCAGATGCAGACTGAGCAGAGGGAGCCAGGAACCAAAAGTTATCTGAAGAGATGTGGAGAGACCTCAAGGGAACTTCAGTTACTGACCAAGAAATCCCAGAAAATCCCCTCATGTTGGAACAAATATACAACTTGTTCTTTTCAACCCTGGTCACAACAGAAATTAGTTCCAGGAGTGGGGAGGTTGCCAAGCACAGACCTTCCGAGAACTTTGGTATCATAGGAGGTAGAGGGCAGTGAGGACTCCCCCCCGGGACATAAAACTTGAACCAGTGGTTTGTGGAGTGAAGCAGTTAATTAAGCTGTTGCCTGGGATCCCTTAGGGCAAATCAAACGCCCTGAAAGGATCAGGCTTTGAAGATATGGTTACTGAACATAAGCAAAGCGGCTGTAAGTAAAGGAAAGCAGGAAATGAACTGGTTCTGACTTTCCATTATGTGGCTAGAAACCAGGGGGGAAAAGCAGAACAATCATTACTTAAGCACCATCACACCAAACACTTTATTATTGCTAAAGATGATATCCAGAAATGATTGATGGGCTGTACCGTTCTGCAGTCCAGGCTGGACCAACATCTGAACCATGCTGCCACATCAGAGTCCAGGTTTGGCCACTGACTGATCGAGACCGGGCTCTGAGAGACGGAAATGGGGGTATCTGAGAGGAGTCAAAGGAATGAAGGCCTTCTGCTCTCTCAGCTCCTCTCAAGACTTCTCACTGCCTTCCCTGTGAATGTGAGGTTCCCACCCACTCTTCAAAGCTCTGCCTCATGAGCAGACTTTAATTGCAGCATATCCTGGAGACTCTGCGCAAAGTGGCTTAGAGATGAAAGACTTCCGGTGGATTTAGTGTATGGCTTGTGTTCCTGGTCAAAGTGTTGAACCAAGAGGCCTTTAAAAGAGAACATTGGGGCCAAATCAAGCAGGGTGTGACCTGGTTGAACCTGGGAAGGTGAGAGAAGCTATGCAGGTGTGGTCCTTTAGGGTTAATTATGAATAATAAA